CAGCGGCTGCATTGGGGAAGGTGGGAGCAGAGCAGCTCCAATGGTCCGGCTGCCCGGAGCACTTTGGGGTTCCTGATGGTGCCGGACCATCAGGAGTACTGGACCATCAGATGCCGGACCATCGGCGTTTTACTGTAAAAGCCCAGTTTACCGGAGAAGGCCAGTTAGGAATATGAACATTTCTCTGTGAGACAGTGAAGACTCTACCGTGAAAACACCAATCAAGCATTTAGGTCAGTTTACATTAGTTTTGGTGAAGTAACTGTGACCTATAAGATATGGATACCTAAGGTCCAAACCATGTGGTAGTCTCGTGATATGTCCGCACTGCAGTGTAATCCCAGGTTTCAAACTCAGGCTCAAGCTTAATCCCTCCCCTTCTGTCTACACACAAATCATGCTAATGCAAGGTTTGATCCTAGGGCTCCACAAGTTTGAGGGTCTGAGCCTGAGTCTGCAGCGTAGACACTGTCCTAATAGATGCATGTTCTGGGAGTCTATCAGAAATATCCCACAAGCTGACTCTCTTTGTCCTCTGGACAGTCAAGCTTGGTTCACAGTCAATGTTTCCTCCCATTGTACCACAAAGAGCTAATGCACGTTTTGGGAGGGTGGTAAGAAGTCTGGGATATGGCTGGTTGGATGCAGGACCACATAATGCAGCCTAGATGCTGAACCCTACCCAACCTGAGGCTTCAACAATACCTAACCTGTGGTTACAAATGAACAGAGACACAGGGGCTACGTCTACACTGGCCCCTTTTCCGGAAGGGGCATGTAAATTTCACCAGTCGTCGTAGGGAAATCCGCGGGGGATTTAAATATCCCCCGCGGCATTTAAATAAAAATGTCCGCCGCTTTTTTCCGGCTTTTAAAAAAGCCGGAAAAGAGCGTCTACACTGGCCCCGATCCTCCGGAAAAAGTGCCCTTTTCCGGAGGGTCTTATTCCTACTTCAAAGTAGGAATAAGAGCCTCCGGAAAAGGGCACTTTTTCCGGAGGATCGGGGCCAGTGTAGACGCTCTTTTCCGGCTTTTCTAAA